GCTTCAAGAACCATCAAGGAGTATAAAAAAACTAAAATACCTTTCGTAGTAAGTTCTATTCTCTACAAAAGGTTATAGTGGTCTGTATAATCTTAGGTTGTTAGTTTAGCCACTATATTCGAAAATATCATTACATGTACATTTACCCTTATATCTCTGGAAACCTGTTGACTATAATATGATAAATACTTATATAATAAAGAATTTGAATCCCTACAAAATTGTTTTTATTACTTCTTTACATATTATTGCCGGTTTTCAATTTTAACTTATCATTAAGAAGCAATAATCTAAAGATACCTCCAAAAATTTTACTCTTCATTTATAAAAAAAATCCTATTTCCTGGCCTAAATGGCCAGGCGTAAAAGCAGCGGTGCCACATTAATAGTTAATAACCTAATTATCCAAAACCTGAAAAATGAATTTACGGGCAACAGATAGTTAACTTTCAAGTTATAGTTCCCACACTTCAAAGTTGCTATTGAGAAACTAGGCCATGAAATTCAAATAGATAGTAGCTTCAAGTGTCTAAGCTTTTGTGTCTTTGATACTCGTAATTGCATTGCAACTAACCACTTGTTACATTCCCTCAGATATTGTGACTAGATTGAAGCAGTCGGTCGTAAATGCTCCTATATTCAGCCTATAGATTGCTATCATGTTCGACGACAAATACAGTGCCGAACCAACTAGTTGATAGTGGTTGCGACCGCAAACATTCGGCACATATCTTCGAGGAGAAACCGGGAATCCTATCTACATGAATATTCATGTTCTGTATTCGGTTAATGGCTACATTGTGTCTGCGAAACGATGGTGTTGCGTGGACGGACGCGCTTCTCTCTGATTACGCCACGATGTGCGGAAATTCGTGTTCCTCTGGAGATGCCAGTAGAAGATTAAACAGTTGAGTGGCATGGCAGAATAGGAAACTTTGTGGTTGAATGTACCGCGTTTATCGATGATTCAGAAAAGTTTTGACCAATCTGTGTTTGTGGACATCCTAGGTAAGGATGGCTTTGTAGATGACGAATCCCCTAAGGGTCTGTGTTTTATCGTTATAGCCCTCATAGTATTGACGACAGTCGAGTGCAGTGTGCGTCGTCCATTGTGCAACATTGACTCTGGAGCATATTTCTGCCTTAACCGTCCATAAAGTCGATAACTTTTCGTCAGTAAGCTTGACAAGCATCCAAAAGGACCAACTGCACTGGAATGGTCTTCAGCACTATCTATAGCTTCGTGATATTTGATCAGACATGCTACCAGCTCGTCTGTTCTCGACAGTAGATTTTTCTAAGAAGGTCCGCTGTGCCTGCAAATTGTGCCACAGTTACTTTAACGCCTTCAGGGGTGTGAATCCTCTGATCTGCGGCTGGATCAGAAGTATGTTGACATGCAGAATCATAACCACATCCTTACAGGGAGAGACTCTCCGATTTACAGCTGCCAGGGGGTGTCAACAGGGAGGGGGTTATCTCCCCTTTTGTGGTCGCTCCTGGTAGACAATCTTATTGCCATTACGTATTCGCCTGTGGGAGGCCGAGGTTCGAGCATATGCAGAGGATCTAGTCGTCCTGGTCAGAGGAAATCTGGGGAACATATCTCGGGAACACTCCAGGAGGTGTTAACCACAATAGCGGCTTGGTGCGAAGGGGAAGGAATGTCAATCAAGCCGCAAAAAATGGTCATTGTACCTTCCAAAAAGAAAACTGGATGTTATTAAACCTCCAACAATCCAAGGTGTAAATGTACCGTTTGCAAAAGAGGCGAAATAACTAGGAATCATCTTAGGTAAGACACTAAACTGGAATTCGCATCTGGAAGCAGCCCTTAAGAAGGCAAGGATCTCGCTATGGAACTGCCGAAGGGTGTGTGGAAAGAACTGGGGAGTGCCTAAACAAATATTTTGGATTTATACCATGGTTATTAGACCCATGATAACCTATGGATCTGTAGCTTGGTGGGGCAAGACAGCACAGAGGAACAGTCCTTTGTGTTCAAGCCAAACTGAGCGCAATACAAAGAGAAGCTTGTATGACACCAACTGCAGCTATGGAGGTCATTCTTAGTTTACCCCCCTTGCACATATACCTGGAAGGTGAGGCAAGAAGGATCTTGTATACTACATCATGTGGCAAATGGTATCATGGACAATATCACTATGGGAGTGCCTTCTGATATAATGCCAAAGATAACAAGATATGCTAAGCCCTAATCAGTGACAATTCCACACAGGAAGTTAACCTGATAAGGAAAGATATCTGTGCATACACAGATGGCTCCAAGACCGAGGTAGGTGTTGGAGCTGGTATCTTCGTGCCGAAGCTGAAGACTAAAAAATCTGTTAGCCTAGAAACCTGGGAATCGATCTTCCAGACATAGCTATATGATATAGAACTGGGTGTCAGATTGATCGCAAAATTAGTGTGGATTAGCAAAGAAGCTCTTGGTGGCATAGGGGAGGGAAATGAAGTCCGTCTCATATGGATACCAGGACACACAGGTCTAGAGGGAAACGAGACCGCCAACACTCTGGCAAAGAGTGGGGCTAGCACACCCTTCATAGGACCTGAGCCAGCGATTGGGATAGCATACAATACAGCTGAACAAATAATCTCAGTAACAGAAAGATCCATCAATACTGGGAGGAATCAGCAGGGTTAACCCACGCTAAGGCAACTATACCAATCTTGACAAAGAAGGCAACAAACTTTAGGCTACGGCTAAACAGGAATAGCCTCAAAGCTCTAGTAGGACTGAACACTGGTCATTGCAAATTGCGTCACCACACGCTGAGTGCAGACTGTGCATGGAGGGAGTCAGGCATGTATTGAGCAGATGTCCTGCAATTTCCAGAATCAGGTACAACATACTTGGAGACGTAGTACTCCAAACAGAAGACCTAAAGGATATTTCTCCAAACAAGTTGATCGACTTTCTCGGGAGGTTGGAACTACTGGGGGAAATATAAATAACTGTGAACCACAATACACCAAAGAGTCGCAGTGGAGGATCGTTATTGATGTACTCACAAGAAACCTAACCTAACCTAGTTACTTTAATTATATGAGGAATGTAGGATTCTATTCTAATGCTAAAAAGTAAAATCTCTGAGCCGATCGCAGCCACCATCTCGATACAAAGGTCTTGCACAGCGAAATCGAATGGCGTCAAGGCTTTTCGCAGTAGTAGGTTATGTTTGATTTCCTTGTTGTGAGTTTCACTTCCTACGTCACCGGCGAGGAAGTATTGTAATCGCGATGTTACATGACATCTTTATCATGAAAACACATGTTACCCATTTGTTCGGTAACTCTTGGCCCACCTGTAGCTGGGGAAGTACCGCTCGGATCTTGATAAAATTTTCCCTCCAGCTTATCGCTGTGCTAATGACAAGAAAGCTTTGTAGTTTGTAAATCGATCCAGTGATGTTCTACAGACTTCTGATCATTTCTGAAAATCTTTGAGCGGAAAAATTGGGAGTTGGTGGACTGCTGGGGGTAGCGAAGGGAGTATCACAATGTTTTGTCAGCAGTAACAACGGATCATTGTTGTTAAAATTTTTGGTGGTAGTAACAATGGACTTATTTCAATTGTGTACAAGGCAAAAATAGATGTACTGTTTGGCTATTCTGCATTGAGATATGAGAATTGGATGCGGGTAGACACGGCGGGTTGAGTAGTGGGGATACCATTTCATAAGCAGCAGAGATCGACGGCACATCGTGGGTTCTGTCCGAATAAAAATTTTAGGCGCGTACATGTATGTTGTTATACTGCCAGATTCGCGATGAATAGTAAAGTTAGAAACAAGGTTCTGAGTCAACAAAGTCGAGAAATTATAGCCTCTGTATTAGAATTCATGCAATACTATTGTAAATTCTAGGTACAAGAACGTGTCCCTGCCGCAACAGGGATGAGCCTGTTCTCCATAAGGCGTGTAAAACATGAAGCGCGAAATATAAAAAAGCATGTGGCAGTTTCATTCCCAAAACCAAAGAGAACAAACATCAAAACTAAGGTGGCTCTTGATGGTGTTGACCAAGGGCTGTACGGAGAACGATCATCAACTACCATATAACAGAGAAGCACATACCTACCTTGCGCTGTATACACAGAAAAATGCGCGATGTTGCCAATTACAAAGGGTGTAAAGAAACACTACGCAAGGAAATACACAAATTGGAATTCAGGTGGAAGAAATTTGAATCCAATAGAAAACTATGAATAGAAAAGGCAGAGATTCGCCATTTACGGATTGTTTTTTAAGGAAAATGGAGAAATATAGAAAAGAAGGACGCCCAGTAATAAATACTGACGAAACGTATATACATTCTTCGCATACACATACCAAAAGCTGGGTAGATAACTCCACAGACGGCATTAAGAAACCAATATCAAAGGGAGGAAGGCTGATCATACTCAATGCTGGCGGTGAAAATGGATTTATACCCAATGCGTACGTAAGATGGAAATCTACATGTAGCATAGCAGGAGATTATCATAATGAAATGAATTTTGATAATTATAAAAAGTGGCTAAAAGAAAAAAGAATTCCAAATCTACCTCCCAGAAGTGGGGTTGATATAGATAATGCGCCGTACCACAATGAACAGATAGACAAAAGTCCAACATCTTCAACCGCTAAAGCTGAAATGAAGATCTGGCTTCGTGACAGGAATATTTTTTCTACAGATGAAATGCTTAAACCAGAACTTTACAATTTGATTAAATTGCATAAGCCAGCTTATAAAAAATTTGCCATAGGTCAAATTCTTCATGATGCTGGCCATGATGTTCTAAGACTGCCACCCTACCACCCCGATTTAAATCCAATAGAACTCAGGTGGGCAACAATGAAGTCTTACGTAGCAGCCAGAAATGTCGATTTCATTTTTCTACCGTTTCAAAATGGTGCGACGCGTTTTTCAATAACTCTACGCCCGAAGAATGGAAAACCAGGTGCGAGCATGCAAAAAAAATTGAGATACAGTTTATGCAGCAAGAGCCCGATGTTGATAGAGTTGTAGACGAAGTTGTTATCCATTTAAATGAAGTTCACAGCGATAGCGACTTTCTCGAGACCGAAACTGAAGATGAAGATGCCGAAGAACGGAGCGATGAAGCAGAAGGGGAATTTAGCGGAATTTTGGATGTACAGTCTGGCAAAGCCAGTTTAAGCTGTGAAAAACCGGCTGCACCGTAAACATCACGTCACAGCTCAAGATGAATTTACCAAATTGTGTAAATGTTTAGCAAGAGTAGCTTAAACTATTCATATACTTTTATAGTCTTTGATTAAAAAAAATATAGATAATCTTCAAAGTTTTAGGCAAATGAATTGGTTTCGACTGCTTCTAAAACTGCAGTGAAAGGCAGTGAAAAACAATCTTTCAACCTTCTTTCATCATGGAAAATCAAATAAGTGTCGTTTGCCTACTGTGAAAAAACTTGGCGCGTCGGCTGTACTTCTACATTCGTTGGCTATTATTGTTTCTCTCAGATATAGCGCTCTCTCACTCCGTTGTTTGCACATCTCACATCTCTAGCTACTCTGGTCGACCTGTACCTTGGTGACGTTTCTTTACATGATTACTATAAAAAAAGACGGGGACTGTAAATTAGGTGATGAGACTGGCAACGTAGTGTTCGATCTGGCAACACTGGAGGCACCGGACTTGAAGGAGAGACAAGAAAACATGTGATCCGCCCTTAGTACAAGTTTGAGCTCGCTCGAGTCATTTGGTTGTCGATTTTTTATGTGGAACAGTTTTTTCGAGCAACGGTGTGCAGGTTTAGCTGCAGACTTGTGCGTAGTGCAACTAAAACACTTGCTAAACTTCAGCAGGCCTAGGGAGATAGTGTTTTCTCAAGAGTTCAGGTTTTTCGATCGTTTAAGGCATTTCTAGAAGAAAGAGAATCGACTGAAAATGAACCACGAAGCGGAAGGCATTCATCTTCAAGAACCGATGAAACTATTAACAAAATCCGGGATCTTGTGCATTCAGATGGTCGGTTGATGGTCAGAATGATCGGGGAAGAGTAACATTTGACTCACACCACTGTTTATCAGATCAAGGACAATTGAGTGTTGCATCACGATAATGCTCTTTGCCGCAGAGCAATGTCAATAAACGAGTTTTTGGTCAGTAAAAACATTCCCGTGGCTCCTCAGCCTCCTGATACGCCTGACTTGAGACCCTGTGACTTTTTTCTCTTCCCGAAATTGAAAAATTCACTTTAAGGGAACTCGTTTTGGGACAGTCGAAAACATTCAAACGGCTGAATTATCGGAGTCCCAGCACCGCTATGAGAAGTGGGAGAACTGACTCCAGCTCTGTCTGGCTCCAAAAGCAAGTTATATTCAGGGTGACAATATAAAATTGTAATAATATTAGATTTAGAAGATTAAACAATAAATAAGCTCCATCACTTAATTTACATACTGGTTTCTTCTAATACGATATCAAACTGTGTCACTAGTAAGCGAATGCGCCTATGATCAGGCCAATTGATAGATTCAAAGTCGCTGACGATTTCTTAGCGCCAAGCCTTCTCTCTCAAAAAGATTAGTAACGATTAGAAATTTGCAGAAATCCTTGGGCACTTCTAAATGCCATCTCTTTTTTGGAAATCAAGCCCCAGAAATACTTAAACTTTTGATTTCCCATTATACATCTACCGATACAAAATAAATGTAGAAATCTATCGGGGTATTAGTATTACATCGTCCATCGGAAAGCTGTACGAAAGAGTCCTAACAGCCCGAATAGAAGACGGAGCCACGGAAATTGAAGAACAAAGTGGATTTCGACCTGGGCGATCCTGTGTCGACAACATATTTACAATAAAACAACTGACAGAAAAGAGATTAGCAAGAGGAATGGAGCTACACGCTACTTTTATAGATCTCCGCAAGGCATTCGACTCCGTCCCTTTGCAGAAATTATGGATCGCAATGAAAGAAGCAGGCATAAATAGCAAATACATAAACGCCGTAAAAGCAATGTATAGAGAAAATCAAGTGGTCGTTAAAGTCGGAAATCAAATTTCTGAGGCTTTCCCACAAACAAAAGGTATTAAGCAGGGCTCCTGCCTCTCTCCAACCCTGTTTAAAATTTATCTCTGCAGCGCTTTAAAACAGTGGATAAGAAAGTGCAGCCCCATGGGGATATGGTTAGAGGACTTTCACTTATATACAATCCTCTTTGCAGATGATCATAGTCTTTGCAGAAGACCAGCAAGACATGACTTACATGATAAACAAACTTATAGAAGAATTTACTAAATGGGGTTTGGAGATAAATATACAAAAGACACAATACATGACTATAGGAGGCACAGGACAAGACATCGAAACAAAAAGCGGAAAAATAGAAAACGTCGGACAGTACCAGTACCTAGGAGTTACAATAGATGAAAGCGGAAAGGATAATAAAGACATACTAAGGAAAATAGGAAAAGGAAAAAATATGATTAAAGCACTACATCCGATCTTGTGGAGTAAGAACCTAACAAAGAAAACAAAAAAAATTATATATCAGGCTATGATTCAGCCAGTACTGACGTATGGGTCAGAAGCGTGGGTTGTAGATAAAAATATGTCACAAAAGCTTCTCTCAACCGAAATGATGTACTGGAGAAGATGTTCCGGTTTAACTTTACTTGACCATGTTAGAAATGAGACCATCAGAGAAAGAATGGAAGTCGAAAATACAATAATGGACGATATAACAGAGAGGCAGTTAAAATGGTATGGACACCTGCAACGAATGAACGAAGAAAGGATACCATTAAGGGTTTGGAAATGGACACCAGCACAAAGAAATAAACGAGGAAGACCACGAAGGAAATGGATTTCAAACATCCATACCGGAATGGAAAGTAGAGGACTACATGAAGGAGACTGGAACGATAGGATACGATGGCGTATGGGTTGCGAGAAGCGACCTTAGGTTGCAGAAACTCGCCATATATATATATATATATATATAAATCTACGATTTTTGATGTTTTTCTGTAATTAATAAGTAAACTAACAGCAAATTGATAATTTTTTTGATCACTCACACCCGTAATTCACAAATATTAGAATGTTTGCGAACAAGTGATTTTTCTAACTTCGACGCTCGATTCGTATTTCTCGATGGGCATGTTCATAAAATTTTCATAAACAGTATTCCGTTGTAACACAGGTTACAATAATTACTTTTTAAAGCAATATCGATTTTTGGATAGATAGCTTGGCCTAACAATATGAACTTATGACATTCTGAAAAAGAGCGGCTGTTGCAAATATGTGTGAATATTTTCGGATGACCTATGCAATTGCAACCTCATGTGGGCATCCTGCATAAGGTAATTACTCACGAATACGTGCTTGCCGATGCAACGGAAGAGGAAGACCGTTCGGGAAACGGAGAGGGCTTCCCGCTAATCGGCGCCATGGCGCTGCTGGGAAACTTTCTCCATTTCCATTGGGAATTAATAGTTGCGCACAAGTTGGAATCGATTCCCAAACACACAAAGACCGGAAATCGGAGACATCGCCACCGTCATACCTCCAATATACGCCGCCACCGTCGTTACTTTATCTACGTGTTTTTAGAACAACCTTTTTCGAACTTCCAGAGCCAGAACCATTTGGAAGAATTGGCAGAAATTTTTAGACAATAGCCATAGCCAGTGCGTGGTGTTTAGTATCTGCAGTTTGGGAAGTTCTTTGCTCAGAAAAGGATCAGGGCATTATCCAAAATTTATTAATTTTTTAATTGACTTTCATGGTCACTAGGCTGTAGTTCCTGTGTTAACTGAATTTTTGCCGCAATGCAATTCTTTTTTTAAAATAGTTCATAATGACGTGCGAGGAATACCGAGTTCTTGAGAACGATGTCTGGTAGATGTCTCAGGGTGCTTCATTACTCTTTCACGAACTCTGTCGATATTTTCCGGAGTACGAACAGTTCGAACACGGCCCGACCTTAGCATGTCTTTAACTTTACCTGTTTGTTCAAATTTCCGCACCAACTGACGAATGGTGTTGAGACTGGGCATATTATTTCGACCGAAATCCTGTCGTTGCTTCCGAATTGTTGCAACAAACAACTCATAATTCAAGTAAAACGTTTCAACAATACGGACGCGTTGTGGGATCGTGTAGCGCTCCAAGATAAATTGGGCACATCTGATTTAAAGTACTACTACGGTATCACCTACAGAAATGCGTGTATCAAAAAAGGCGCGCAATTTAAACTAGACAGTTATATATTGGTCACCCTGTACGTACAATTTCTTATGTTCGGCATCGTCGTAACACTTTATAATTCAAATATATAATAAAACACACTGAGAGACAGAACATGTACAAGAAATGGCGTCAAGTAGGTTGACTCTACACTTCCCACGCAACGCCCTTATCAGTACATAAAGGAATATGTTCAGCACACAAAAGTCAGTCAAATAGGTCCATTCAATTGGTCCTTAGACATTCTTTCCCTGCATCTGAAAAAGCCACCTGGTGCGCGGCAGAAATACGTGTGATTTCATATCAGAACACTCATCACGGTCGGCGCACGACGCCAGCAGCAGCCGTGGGCGATAGGTACGCGATTCGTTTCTCGTTTCAGGGCTAATGTACAGAGAAATGTATGCTGTGTGAAATACGTCTAATAGCTGCGTAGAATTACTATTGTTGGGAGTGTATAAATGTTTGAGCATCGAAAAATAGAGATAACCTTGCAACACCTTACAACCCACATCCTCAAGTTTTTTACCTCTAAATTTCTTTTCAAAAATAATCAGGATCCTCTGAAACCTAAAAAAAGTTTGAGCGATTTCTACTTTCTTCGTTTTAGGCCTTTTTCTCTGCTGCCGTTAAACCGATTTTTGAAAACTAAAGATTTTGCGTTCTCGACATAGTATTATTATTGTTTGAAAATTTCATCAAAATTCGAGCGGTACTTGTCACGTTACAGGCGGTTATAGCATTAGCGAACAGACCGACAGTCAGATAAATAGACCGAAGGAAATAAGTGACATGGATTTTTGTGATCTACTTGTCATATAACACCCAAAAAACATATATCATCTTTGAAAAACTTTGCGATTATAATACTTCCCCGCCAGTAGGCGTGGGAAGTGAAAATCGACGTGTTGCGTCATTGCTCTCACAGTGAAAACGAGAGTTGAAACAAATGATGCAAATTA